TACACACACGCGCGAGCGCCCAACACACACACACACACTCAAATCAAACACATATTTAGCTTGATAACTTGATCTATGTTCATTTATGTTGTAAAGTAATTTACTCTTCCAGGTACATTTAATATATTTTAGTGTAGTTGGAAGACGAAGAAGAAGAAGGAAATGATGATGAAAAGAAGAGGAAGAAGAAGAAGAATGGATGCTGACCGCATCACTAATGCTGTCTAGTGGCACGGGTTGAGGGAGAAGCGTCTGAAGCTTGGAGACGAGTTCTCTGATCTGCTGTTCAGTGATGCGAGAAGAGCTTCCTGAATGCCTTGAAGATCTTGATCGCCGGCTCGACATGTTTGATGGATAGCTAGTTATAAACTGCCGAGTTTCTTCTACTCCTGTTCTTAATTAATAAGATATTAACAAGCTAGCTAGCTTAGAACTACGTTGTGTAAATAATAGAGAGATATATCGAAAAGCAATGGAGATCAGAACAGAGGAGCTCACAAGAGGTCGTCGTTGAAGAAGAACAAGTGAGGAGGACAAGTGCGCGTTTTTAAATAGAGACCAACCTACGCACTCCCCTACAAAATCAATATAATTTTATATATATTTATCAAAATGTTTGAAATAAAGTTTTCATTTAATTGAATATATTCAAATTACTTAAACGAGAGAAAGAGAAGAGTGACACGCCCATACCTTAGTGTCTGCAAGTTGGATAACAGGCAGAGCTCATGTTCACCTGCGAATTAAATATATATCCCTATATATAGGCCTTCTTCATAAAACCCAAGTAAAATACTATATATTGCAGTGTATTATTAAGCTTTTATATGGAAGGAGATATATACATCCATATATATTATGGAATGGATTAGTTAATTTAGCTCTCAATCTACATATTAGATTCCATCTAAAGCACAGAATGCGAATCCTTCTAGAGGAGAAACTAATTAATTAATCTGAATACAGTGACTTAGAAGTTAGAAAGCACATACATTATAGAATTATTGAGAAAATCAATCTCATTTAATGCGATAAAATTCTTTAATACTTCCCTCTCGCACTCACGCTCGCTCTGGATCTCTCGAACGTGCTTAGTTTACATTAATTTTTAAGCTTTGTAAACAACAAACAGGATTCTCATTAATCACTTTGATTAATTTATTTAATTTATAACGTGACTTCTGTTGAATTTTTTTTTTTTCTTAAGGCTGCATTATAGCTTTATTTTATTGTCATTTGAAATAAGTACTGTTTATCCAAAGTTTCCATAGATTCAATTCACGGCTCTCAAACCGTAACCTTTACGTGGCAGAGCAAATGCTTCTGCTGCTGTTAAAAGATCTAATTATATATGTATTAATTTTCACAGAAAAATATATTTAGCTCTAAACTACCTATATTATATATATTTTCAAACCACCTATCAATGCGCAAAATTACCATAAGAGTTTGCAGGCACCAGTGTAACTACACCAGGAACACGGAGAGTCCATCTCTGTGTGGTTTTCTGACTTGATTCAAAAATGAGGTGCTTCAAGTACGGGACATCACCTAATTGGATCGAATTTATTTAAGATATGGAAATTAGAGTTGAGGATGGGTCCCCCCATGAAATGTCCTCGCTTCTCTAATTGCTCTCCGTGTTGATAAAAATAATTTTAGGTATCATTACACACGTGCTTCCCACGTGTGCGAAGTGACAACTAACATGTAATGAAATGCCAAACTGTTTGCTGGGTTCCATAGGCTATCAAACACCATGTACATACAGTATTGATTTAATATTTGAGGGCAAATTCGGTGTCAATCAAAGAAGAAATTATTCACTCTATTATCCGGATATCCGGACACCAGCAAGAATCCGATCATGTGAAATGTATGTTAATATGATTAGATTCTCACTACTGTCTAGACATATTATTTGTCGGACAAGTGAAAGAACGAGATAAGAGCCTTTGCTCTTCTTACTAAAATAAAAAAAATAAAAATACAATAAGAATAATAATAGTAATTCATATGATTTATTAAGTTTAGATGCCATTTTAATTGCTAATTAAAGAAGAGTTAGGTTTTGAATAAATTAATGTATTTTTTAGGTTACTTGGCAACAGTGCTTCAGAAACGTGCATTAGTTTGTACTTCATTGGGAAAACAGATTACTTGATTAAGATTGGATGTTGGAAGTAATTAAATAATTGATTAATTTAAGGGGTGGAAGAAAGATGATGGCAAATGCGTGAAGCACAAGAAGGTGGCAGGTGCACGTGCATGTTGAGTTGATATTATATAGTATAATATTTATATCAAACCTGAAGATCGATGTATTTTATAATTTTGTACTCTACTTGCTTTCGTAATATGCAAACAGATAATATCAATGGAAGATGAAGTACCCTACAGTCATGTATTTTATTTGACATTACATAACATTGTTTACAGACATTGACTGCCATTCTTACTGGCTCCTCAGTATACGCAATTAATAAATGACATACTTGGTAACCACCGCAAGGATAATATGTACAGAATATTTGAGGAAAATAAATCATGATAATCCACAAGTACTACGACAGCAATAAATAGTTGCAATAATATATATGTGGCACATGTAGCTGTTTCTCACTTCAATAGCAGCTCCTGATTCATCAGGTGATGCCACCATGGCCCATGGCTGCTCCTCCTGCTTCTGCTCCCATGAACACTATTGCTTTGCTGGCGGCATTTGGCAATAAACTCATCCTACCTTGCATAACTATTCAGGAATCCCCTCAAACATACATATACATACCCGCACATAATCCTGTTAAAAAATTTTTTTGGGAGCGTTTATTTTGTTAATAACACTACTAAAAGTATCTAAAAAAAACACAAATTTTTTGCAATGCTAATAATTACAATGACTTAGAATCCGCAACAATGAATGTTGAAAGATCTTAAAAATACTAATGATTATATTTCATATTTGCTATAACTCTATATTTAGAGAGTTATAAATTATATGAGGGATCTTAGAAATTTTTATTTATTTCTCTCCTTAATTAGAGAGAATAGTTATCTCTTATATTTTGCTATTATTTATTTCCTTTTATACTATATTCTATTTTTATTGTTTTCCTTACCAATAAGTCCTGTAATGAGTATTTATACCCCTCTTTTCATCAATAAAATCAAGTCCTCTTATAACTTTTCATGGTATCAGAGTCATGCCAATCTTCTTCGGTATGACGAATTCTTTCTCTTCCTCCCAAGAAATATCCTCCGCCTCATCTGTCCCTGTTCCAATCGGAATCGATGACATTTCCCCCCTCATCACTGGCCACAAACTCAACGACCAGAACTACTTCAAGTGGTCTCAATCCGTCATTATGTTTATCAGCGGCAGAGGTCAGGACGACTATATCACCGGTGATGTCGTCGCTCCGACCAAGGATAACCCAAAATTTCAGACATGGAATGCAGAAAATCACATAGTCATGTCGTGATTAATCAATTATAATCAATTCCATGACCAACGACATCGAGAAAAATTTTCTTCTGTACGGCATGACCAAGAGTATTTGGGATGCTGCTCGAGAGACATACTCTCACTCGAATAACACATCCAAGCTCTTCGAGATCGAGTCAATCTTCTACGATCTTCGTCAAGGTGATCAATCTGTGACTCAGTATTTTAATGCCCTCTCACGTTACTAGCAGCAGGTTGACATGCATGATGTTCATGTCTAGTCATGCACTCCGGACTTCAACTTATACTTTCAGATCATTGAGCAAAAAAGGATATTCAAATTCCTTCTCGGCCTCAACAACTCTTTTGATCATGTCCGCTCTCATGTATTAGGCTTCAAACCACCACCGAGCATTCGAGAGACCTTCTCTAAGGTTCATCGGGAAAAAAGCCGCCAAAAAGTCATGCTTGGACCTATCCCCACCTTACCCAATCTCTCCATTGACGCCTCCGCCCTTGCAGCTCGGGTTCCTCCTCCTTGACACAATGACAACCCATCACGCAAGGGCCGTCCCCTTTGCGACCATTGTCGCAAACCGAGTCATAATAAAGATAAGTGTTGGGTGCTTCATGGAAAGTCAACCGATTGGAAGTCTCGAACTGATTGTGTTCCCAGTGCCAACAGCGCCGTCACTGCTGCTGATCTTCCTGCACCAGCACCAAATCCATTTAGTGGAGCAACTCGATTTTCTACGCAAATTGATCGGCAAACCACCTGATCTGGTTGTTCCCGATCTCATCACCGGCCTGCTCGCATAGCAGGGTACGTTCTACCATGCCTTCACAGTCAATCAAGGATCCCTCGGTCAGTGTATCATCAATTTTGGCGCTTCTCATCACATGACTGGCGATGCCTCCCTTCTCCATGACTATATGTCGTGTGGATACAACTCCACCATTCGCATTACAAATGGCTCTGTCTCCAAAGTCACCAGTTTGGCTCCGTGCACATCACCCAAAACATTTTACTCCGATCTGTGCTTCATGTTCCTACTTTAAATTGCAATTTAATATCCATAAAAAAATTTACTAGTGATCTAAGGTGTATTGCTAAATTTTACCCTACCACGTGTGAATTTCAAGATGTGGACTCGGGGACGACGATTGACAATGCTGAGTTGTACTCGGATCTCTACGTCATCAATGATACTTCACCACCACGACCTCACTGCGGACATTTGTCTACCCATCATTATGTCTTCAATTCTAGTGTCAATAAAGATTCTAAGATTATGTTATGGCATTTTCGTCTAGACCATCCAAATTTTATGTATCTTGCAAAACTATTTCCAAATTTATTTATCAATAAAGATGTTCATTCTTTTCAATGTGAATTTTGTCAACTTGTCGAACACACTCACACGTCATTTCCACATGTTGGTTACACCTCTTCCAGGCCCTTTGCACTCATTCACAGCGATATCTGGGTCCCTTCTCGTGTTACAACGCTTATCGGGACTCGGTGGTTTGCCTCTTTTATTGATGATCACACTCACCTAACGTGGTTATTTCTTATTAAAGATAAATCTGCAGTTGGTCGCATATTTAAACAATTTTACTCAATGATCCAAACACAATTCCAAACCTTCATCCAGACACTCAAGACTGATAATGCAAAGGAGTACTTTGCTTTCATCGTCGGCTCTTATCTCTCCTTTAAAGGCATCCTCCATCTCTGTTCTTGCATTGACACTCCTCAATAAAATGGGATCGTCGAATGCAAAAACTGCCACCTTCTCGAGGTGGCCCGTTGCCTCATGTTTTCCTCTAAAGTGCCTATGGTTTGGGGCGACGTTGTATCCACTGCAACCTACCTCATCAAAAGGATGCTTTCTCGGGTCCTCAAATTTCAAAGTTTAGTCCAACTCCTTCTCAAATCGTTTCCCCACACTAAGGCAATTGTCCAAAATCTACCTACCAAGTATTTGGTTGCTCCTCCTTTGTTCACATTCATTCACACAATCACAGCAAACTTGACCCTAAATCTACTAAATGTATTTTCCCCGGCTACTCACTGTTGGCATTAATTTTTGATGTCACGAGTGTAGGGTGTTCACCTGCATGACTCAAGATATTTTACGGTATGTCTGTAACATCCGATAGTTCAGACACCCACCCGAGACCTTTTTGGCACGTGTCAAGGGGAACGTAGCCATGGTCATTTTGTTAGGCTTTGGCTTTCACTTAGGTGAAGGCTGGTCGACATTTGGCATGTCGGACGACTTCGATCGGGTCAACAAATGTATAATCATTTGGCTTTTCGACATTTGACATAAAGAACATTGACTATTCCAACGCTTGTTTACTGAATCTGCGGCTAGGCTGGGAGGATACAGGCTCTCACTTCGGAGCTCTCACGTTCCCCTCGCCTGAGGGCTAACATCTACACTTCAACACCCAAACAATAGGATCGAATCGAGGATTTTAGCATGTCACTCTAAAATCTCCAATTCTACGCCCGATAGTTTTATTTCCTATTTATTTGCACCAAACTTCCAAGGGTTTTGACCTCCATGAATCTTGGATGTAATCTTCACTTTAGTTGTAAAACTCAACATATTTTAACAAATCAATTGACCAAATTGAAAGTAAATTAAGATCAAAGTGAAAATATCAGCACAATTTCTTTAACATTTTCATGGCTCAACCAATTCAAATCACCATTTCACAAATCTCAAGACAAGGAGAAAGACAGAGAAAACTACTCAGATCTCATGGGGGAAACATAGCAAAACTCGGAATTCATATATAAAATCAAAGTCATACAAACTACAACAATAAATAAACTTATATCTAATTTCTCCCCAAGCAAACTCCTCGAAGTTCCTCTAAATCTCTTCCTTTTTTACAGCACACAAAATTCCTCTTCGAAGCGGCAAGGAGGAAGTAATCTCTCACTTTCCCTCCACTCTTACAATCTCTCGAAGAATTCCTCACAGTTTAGACTCTTTACACTTTTTCGACACTTCAATTTTTAGCCTCCCTCTATTTTCGGCCAAAGTTTTCTCTTTTAAGATGTGGATGAGTTTTCCCAAGAGTTGCCTAAGCACCCCTCCAAAATTCATCCTCATCCAATGCATAGTTGGACATAATCGCCAAGCTTGTCATCGGCGGCCTAGAAGGCGCCGTCAGCGGACCTTCTGAGTGAATTAATTCTGGAGTCTAGGGAAAAGTCCGTCGTCGGCGCCCTAGTTCAAATCTTCACATTTTGGTCCTTTTCGCTCCAAATTCGCTTCTTTTTGCTTCTTTTTGCTCCAATGACTTTAATTTATCATTCCTGCAACAAAACATCAAAAATATATTTCTTTAAAGTGCAATATCATCAAAAACAGTGTAAAATAAGTATGAAAAATCTCAACATATTTTTCTTTGGCCAAAGAACACATGAATGTAGTCTACAGAATCTTGAGATACCTCAAGATGACTCTAGACAAAGGGCCACTGTTTCAAATGAATAAGGATCGAAGTATAGAAGTGTATTCAGACGCAGACTAGGTAGGGGATGTCTCGAATCGATAATCAACTTCAAACTATTGAACTTATGTCTTGGGAAACCTAGTCACTTGGAGAAGCAAAAAACAGTCTGTGAAATCAAGAAGAAGCGCTGAAACTGAATTCAGAGCTCTTGCACTCGGGATCTGTGAAGGAATGTGGATTTGAAGAATACTCAACGAACTCAGAATGCTAATTGAAAAAACTGTCAAACTACAATGTGATAACCAGACATCCATCAACATTGCAAAGAATCTAGTACACCGTGACAGAACGAAACACATGGAGATCGATCGACATTTTATCTCAGAAAACATTGAGAGAGGAGTCATCGAACTTGCATACATTCCTTCCCGACATCAAACGAAAGATATCCTAAGTAAGTCTCTCCAAAAAACCAACTTTGAAGAATTATGTAACAAGTTAGGCATGTACAATCTGTACAACCCAACTTGAGTGAGAGTGCTGAAAGATCTCGAAAACACTAATGATTATATTCCATATTTGTTATAACTTTATATTTAAAGGGTCATAAATTATATGTGGGATCTTGGGAATCTCTATATTTCTCTCCTTAATTAAAGAGATTAACTACTTCTTATGTTTTTTTTATTATTCATTTTTTTTCTACTATATTTTGTTTCTATTATTTTTCTTACCATTAAGTCCTATAATAGGCATTTAAACCTCTATTTTCATCAATAAACTCAAGTCCTCTTATATCTTTTCAATGAAAATATCAGAAATTTTTATCATAATGTTTGTTTGTGTGCTGCAAAAACTCTTTTTTTTAGAAATTATAGACTGATGGTTAATATATATATATATGTATATATATGTATATATATATGTATATATATGTATAT